GAAGCTGGAATCTGAGTCCCCCCCCCCACCTCTGTTTAAAGTTGGTTTTTCTCTCTTCACATAGATGGCTTCCTTCCTCTCAAACCATCTATTTTCTTTATCCAGAATATGGACATTCTGGTCCTCCAAAGAATGTCCTTTGTCCATAAGGTGTAGGTGTACTGCGGAGTCTTGTCCAGAGGCGGCCGCTCTTCTGTGTTGGGCCATGCGTCTGTGGAGAGGTTGTTTGGTTTCTCCAATATAAAGATCAGAGCATTCCTCGCTGCACTGAACAGCATACCACTCCGCTCATATTCGGTCTGGGGGTTTTATCTTTAGGATGCACTAGTCTCTGTTTAAGGGTTTGGTTTGGCTTGAAATGTACCCCAGAGTGACACCAGTCATAGCGGCCCATGACACACTGACGCCCCTGGTGGAATGGCACTGTATACACCAGCTGGGGGTTGGAGGCCCTACCGAATGTACGCTTGTTCCACTACATCCACAATCCAACGCGCAAGGCACAGAAAGGGCCTGCCCCTTGCTGGGCCCCGCGTAGCAAACAAACAGACTATCCAACTGCCGGAGAGAAGCTGTGAGACTGCCCTCAGTGCCCGAACAGGGCAGACAAGCTCATCAGGCCCATCCACATCAAGGCGAGCAAGCTAGAGGGGCACAGTGTGGCTCGCCGATGAAGCCACCTTAGGAAGAAACGCGGCATCAGGCCAAAGAGTAACACCCGAACCAGCCGGGTTCCAACGGCAGCTGGACTCGTGAACAGACAAGGCATGTAGTTCACCCACCCGTTTCGCCGAGGCCATGGCGAGGAGAAAAGCTGTCTTCTTTGACACTCAAGGCTTGCCTCCGCCAATGGTTCAAAAGGAGGAGAGCCCAGGCCAGCGAGGACAAGAGACAGGTCTCACACCGGCACAACAGGGCATATGGGAGGGTGAAAACATCGGGCACCTCTCAAAAACAAGGAAACGTCCTTGTTACGACCCACCGTCTCCCCACTCACCACCGAATGCCATCATGAGATAGCAGCAACATAGACTTTCAGATGGATGGAGAGCGACCTCAAGAAAGCAGCGCTTGAAGGAAGGTTAAAATAACAGAAATAGGACAGTGTACAGGGTCTTCATTCCTTTCCTGACACCAGCGGCTAAAAGCCTTCCACTTATGGGCGTACACCAGTCGCATGGAAGGGGTCCTGATGTCCCTGTCATACTCCGAGAAGGAAACGACAGGCCCTGTAGTGTCCAGACCCAGATTTGGAGGCAACTGGGATTGGGATGCAGGGTCTGACTCCCCAGCTGTGACAGAAGGTCCTTCCTGCAGGGAAGAGGCATTGGAGAGCTGCATCACAGCCTGTGCAGCATTGGAAACCAAGTCCTCCCTGAGAAAAGGATTAGTGGTTACACACGAGAAATGCTTGCTTTGAATTTAGCAGCTCAATGGAAGGAAAAGGTAAAACCATTAAAGTCTATTATTGGCTCAGATTCTAGTTCTTCATTAGTTGGTTTGCAAAATAATCAGACAGTAGATCAGATATATTCATTGAAATCCAACAAACACTATTATGATGGAGCTAACAGTACATTATGTCTGGGTTCCAGAAGATCACAGCATGAACGGGAGTGAGAAGGCAGACAACACGGCGCCATTTAGCCAACGATAGATATTACTGTGTTTTAGTAGAACAGAAATGCATAGGGGAGTGTTGGCCTAGTGGTTAGAGCAGTGCTATGAGCTCTGAGAAGGTTGCAGAACCTGGTTCGATCCCCACAGCCTCCATTCTGGGTCCCTGAGCAAGAATCTTAACTCCCCACTGCTCCCTGGGCGCCGCACAATGGCAGCCCACTGCTCTCCAAGGGGAGGGGCTTAAAGCAGAGTGGGAATTTCTCCAATGTGAGATCAATATAGTTCAGTTATCATACATTAGTTTGGCAGACATGTAAACATGTTCGTATCTAACCCTGGTTCCTCTGTTTCATATCCACATTTTAGCAGCTGGCGAGCTCCAGCAGTAATTCACCTGTCATTACAAAAAAAGAAAATGAAAACAATCCACAAGTCTGAAGACGTTTCTCTTCCATCCAGGAAGATTTTTCA